GACAGACCCGCTGCTTCTTCCCACTTTAACCTGAATAACAAACCGGAGCTAGCTGGGAGCGGCTAGCAGAGTGTTAGCTGCAGCATGACGGAGGGACGCACAGCCAGTTTGCCTCCGCTAGTCTCTGAGCTAGCCCCGGCTCTCTCTAAAGTGGGAAGAAGCAGTGGGTTTATTGGGCAGCTGAGTGAAGCTGAGTGAAGTGGAGCCTGTGGAGGAAACACCGCGACTGTCTGAAAGTAATAGTAATAGGATGTACCACTCTCTCACTCCTCTCTCTCTCACACCGGCGCAGAACGTACGTGCCACTTGGCCGTCTGATGTAGTCTGTATAGTGTGTTCAAATGCAACTGACACAGGACGACGTGAGGCGACGTAGATGACGTAACAGTTGGCTAGTTCTTTGATGTTGGTTTGGTGTGTCTGCACCTTTAAGCCTCCTACAACTGTGCGGTTTTCAACGATCTTATAAGTCTAGTGCAAGCTACACTGTGCGACACAGATCTAATAAACTTGGGTACGACATCAAGTTTGATGTATGCAAACTGTGCAATGACAGCGCCAACTGAATCACAGGCTACAATTTATGATGCGAGAGCTTCCCATTCTGAGTTTGCAAGGATGCTCACAGGTTATTGATTCTCCAACTGTGAAGCACAACACAGAGGGTCACATTATTAAAAAACCTACATTTTAGTGGACGCTATACTGCTGTGTGTCTGTGTGTATGTTCGCTAGCTGTTTGCTAGCAACTCCACCGCTATTTCCTTCCACGCTTCATCCTTCTTCACACAATCATGGTAAGAGCTGAAGGACACATGATACAGGCAAGGCTTCTGCCGCCACAACTCCGCAAGGTTTTCCTGTTTGCCAACACATTTCTTTTAGGGCATTTTGCAACCATGGTGGGCTGCTATCCATCTGTTTGGGTTTAGTGCCAGTGCGTCATTTCATGCTACATTTCTGTTGGTTGGTTAGTTGACATATGTCGTGACAGCAGTCACAAATTTCTGACACTGACACTGTCAGAAATCCTAGGCTGTCTTTGATTGCAAGACTGTGACAACAGCCATCCTTGAACCTCTCAATGTGCAACGTAGGACCACCGTTTTAGAGCCACAACCAAAGATATCGCCATCTTTCTTTTATGATGGTCATCTTTTGTCTGGGACAGCCCAAAATCACACAGTGTATACTGGGTTTAATACCTACGTGGATGTATAAAGAGAGCTGAATACAGTGTTGGAGGTGTGGCCCCATTCATTCCTAAAAAGCTGCTCAGTGGGGCATGAAGCCAAAAATGCTTCACTTCCCGAGTATAAAAGTACCTAGATCTTCCGCATTGTTTGGCTCAGAGAGCAATTGCATAAGAGACTTTTGGCCGGACGAGTGGCTAACTCCAGACTTAAGAAATGTTATCAGACTGAATGGATCAAATCCTGACAATGAAACAAGTTATTTCATGGGGGTTATATTGTTAAAAAATGTATCCACTGATTTACAGGCATTTCTTTACATTGTAAGTCTAAAGGGAAAAGTATTTTTGGCTCAGTAGCATCGCGTTATGAACCCAGACAACCCGGTCTCACTCCAAAGTTGTCGAAATCTGGCGCTTGGGCAGTGACTTCTAGCTCCAGACACTGACAAAAAAAGCCGTCCTTTAACAATGGCATGACATAAGTAATAAGAGATAAGATATGGAGGCAAAAGTCCAAGTGAGGCAGGTGGTAGTGGTGGATGGGTCCAACGAACACTGGCCTTCACTCAGGCAAGCAGTGTTCGCATCCCGAAAGATTATAAAGCCAAACCTTGTTCTTTTTTCCTAAACCCAACCACATGTTTTTGTTGCCTAAACCCAGCAATGTGCATTAGTTGCTGAAGGAAAAAAAAGGTCAATTGGTGGGTTGTACCAAGGTAGTACGTTTATTTTGAAATAGACTGTATGTGTAGTGTAGTTTGAAAGAAGACAATGCATGTAACAGGCAGAACTTGACAGTCTCCCAGAGCATCAACTGCCAATGGATCCAGGGTACCTTGCACATTGTATCTGGACGTTGAAAGTCCATGAACAAATGTTGATATGTGACAAGGTCGGTGTGAGAATGTGTTGACCCTGAGGTTGTCATTCCATGGTTTGACTGTTATGTAAAATTAGCTTCAAAGCCCTGTGCTCTTTCTGGGGGCTTGGTCTAATAAAGCAGGCTAAAGAGTACAGTCAAGAGTGTTGTCTGACACATTAACACTGAACTTGATTAAATATTGTCTTTTGCATCACATCAGATGAGTTCATGCATCAGCTTCTGCAAATAGTTTTAGGTCACTAAAATGCAGATTTTTTAAAAAAAAAAAAAAAAAGCCTTTAAAGGTGCAGATTTTACAGAACTCTGGTTACTCTGTGTGGACATGTAAAATGGAGCGTTTGGGAAAGTCCTCCTTCAATTCCTCCTTTACCCTGAGATCAAGTGTAAATAACTGTAATGAGATCTACAGTAGGTGTTTTGGAAGTTAAGGCCAGCCTGTACACTTTAACAACTTTGTGACAAAGGAGACAGCAGAGGACAGCTAATGGCAGCAAGCATTTGGGGTCATTTTTGCATGTGAACGAGATATTTCATTTTGTAAAATGAAGTTTGTGTGTACAGAATTTTATTTATTTTTTAAACAAAGGGGCAAAATATTATAAAACATCTATACGTGCATTTTGCATCACGTATTGGTGCTACATTTCTAACTATATTATTTGCCAGCTGTTGAGCAGACAATGAAGGAAGAGTATGTTGTCATCAGGGCAAAAGTATTTGCTGTAAACAGAAGCACATTTATGTAGGTTCTGGTGCATAGTATATACATGAGAGCTCTCTATCCAATCAGACTTTGCAGCTGCACTCTTAGCAATGTGTTATCAAGTGTGTGGTATTAAGATTGCAGGGATAATTGAATACTTTCCTAGCCTGTGACGTTGAAACAATCATAATAGTATTTCATCAGCTTTGTCAATTTGAGGTTTTCAGTGAGACGACGAATCCAACAGGATGTTTTTTTGCAGATCATCTCTTAATAGGACAAAGCTGGATCTAGGCCCCAGGTTTTCTGGAGCTCTTTTGAAGGCAGCTAAAGTAATGATTAGAAAGCAAAGTCCACATCTGAGATATATTTTCCAATACCAAAGCCATTACTGAAACCAGATGGGCGAGACGTTGGTCCGTTTGATACTTCCTGGTTTTTAACAAGCCTTTTTATTGACAGAACGGTTTCATGTTTTGTTGTTTACGCTTGTTGCACTGACATGATGGATTTCGGCTCATAAAAGTATTTACATTAAAACATTCATCATCGAGTTACTCAAATCTGTGTTTCTTGTGCAGGGAAAACACAGGCTGCCTCTGTCAGTTATTTGAATTCTGTGCACATTTGCATGTTACTGTACATGAATCAAATAAATTGGCATGGGAAAGTCATGCTTGTTCAGCATGAAACCATATCCATCAGCACAAACTATGTGAAGACAAATCTTTTAAGTTTGACAGTTAATTAATGCTGCCTTTAGGTTAAGAAAGCATTGGAGTTCACTCTCAGCACGAGATATATTTCAGTATTAGCATTTACACACCACATACCGAAGCACCAACAGCCTGTGAAACCACAATAAACCTGAATCAGGAGAAGCATTGTCAGAGAGCTGGGGAGGGGTAAAAACATGCTCGCACGAGAGAGCCTTCGGTGTGAAGAACTGGCAGCGCCATGCTTTATCTTTCCAAAAAGCGTGAAAATGTTAGTTTGGCACAGCTGTTTGACTTGATTGTCAAAGCAGAAACTGGCTGTTTTGGCACGTCATACTGTACTTTGTCTTAACAGCAAGACACACATCACACGCAAAGCCTGAAATTATGGTTTACAGAAAGAAAAGATGGACAATCTTTATGAGACAGTTTTAAAATGCCAATGTTTACAACTAACTAGCATAGCTAAATAGAGTTCTTATGTTGACACCAAGCTTTATTGCTCTGTAATGGGGCATTGTAGTTAACAAATTTTAATAAATCAAATCACTGCAAAGTAATTGCTCCACTACCTTGGCGCTTTAGGAACCCTGATGTTCTGGGGCACTGGAGCGGTTACTTTGCCTGGTTGGTAATCCAGACTTGCACTAGAAGCTCTGTGAGGCTGTACATATGAGAACAGCATTGCTTTGAGCTAAACAAACTTACTAATTAACACTAAACATAAACTACAGCTGAGGCTGAATGTCATTAGCTGTTTTTAGTATTGTGTAATAAACCCAAGTGTTGAACAATAATTGGCCTGATGCTTATAGAAGTAAATTCACGGCATCACCAACGTCATTAGGATTCACCATCTAGGAGCCATGTTTGTACCACGCAATTCTACAGTGGCCCTGAGGATCAAAACATAGTAAAAATTCCTGAAAACTCAACCACATTTCAGAAAACGATATTTAACAAAACAGGACTTTTCAGAACACATTTCATAAAACACAACCACATTTCAGAAAACAAAACATTTCACAAAACACCTTTCAGAGTACTACATTTCACAAACACTACAAAATTCCACATTTGTGACATGTTGTAGTGTTTTGTGAAACATAGTGATTTGTGAAATATGTTTTCTAAAATGTTTTCTGAAATGTCACGTTTTGTGGAATGTTGTGTTTTGTTAAATGTTATTCTGTTTTGTGAAATTGTGTTATTTGAAATGTGTTTGGTGAAATGTCATTGCGTTTTCTGAAATATTGTGTCTTAGTGAAATGTGTTTTGTGAAATGTGTTTTCTAAAAACTGGTTGTGTTCTGTGAAATGTCATTATGTTTTCTGAAATGATGTGTTTTGTGAAATATTATGTGTTTTGACCCTAAGGGTCACCTTACAATCCACTCTGTTTTGATGAGTTATTTCCCTAAACCAAAGTGACTGATCAATCAACCAACACTGCCATGTCTTTGCAAATCCAAGAAAGAAAACTAAATAATATAACAGACACCCATTCAGTTTTCCATATTTATGTAAAATTTGTATGTACATGTAATAGGCAGCAATGCACTGCTGACATTCAAATCTGTAACAAAATAGTGCTAAAACTGACCAGCAACACTTGAGCAAAACAAACCAGAACACAGAGTTTGCAATATTTGCACTTTCATAACTTTTGCACTTTGAAACATGTATAACTACAAGGCGTTTTCCATTACCGATGAATACTGATTACTGCAGTTAGACTGGATGTAGAGAGACAGAAAAGTGGTAAAAAAACATCATTTGGCCAAATGTCAGGTGACAATGCACAACAAGAAATGACGAAATCTGCCACATAGGCCTACATGGTATCTCATGATGCAGATTGGTGGTTATAATTCTTTTAGATTTTTCAAGTAATGAAAAGAAATGTAAAAACAAAAAGAGGAAATTAGAAGAAAATGATCAAAATGATTGGTAGTTCAGTCTTTAGTTTGACAAATCAATCAGCTGACGGCAGCACTCATTCATACTTCTGTCAGTAACTTATTCAACAGGAACCCTACATTGAGCTGCTCTGTACAGTGTGGCTTTTAAAGCTCCAAATACCTGCAACTGCCAATACTGTAGTCTAATCACTGGTTTTATGATTAATTACTTTATGATCACAGTGAGAAAGATTAATAAGGATAGCTGAACATTTTTACCGAGTTAGATGAGAAGACCAATACCACTCTTATATTTGCACACTGAATGCGAAGCTAGAGCAGCAGATGGTTAGTTTACATTAGCATGCGGGTGACCAGATGAGAATAGGTGAAAATACGGGAAAGGGGAATTTGGGGTAGGTGTGGTCATGTGGCCACGGTGGCCATTCCATTCATTGTAATCTCTATACACAGATATCTGCATGTGAACGCAGAATCTGTAGAAAATGGGACAAGATTTTAGGTTACGGAAGCATTCTGGTTTCCACTTGTAGTCCATTTGTGGTCCGAGTGGACAATCAATTTATAGGTTTCTAGTGTTGGACAAAGCCAGGCTAGCTGTTTACCCCTGCTTCTAGTCTCTATGCTAGGCTAAGATAACCATCTGCTGGTTCTAGCTTCATATTTACTGTACAGACATGAGAGTGTTTTCACTCTTCCCATTGATTTCTCAGTAATAAAGCAAAACTGTATTTCCCAAAATGTCCTTCCATACCTTTGAGTAAAATCCCTAGACCTGTTGAATGAAAGAGGGTAACAAAGTAATTGTATCTACAAAGAAATAGTGGAAATGATTTCTGTGAAGAAGGGCTTTTACTACAATGTCCTTTTCGTTAGAAGAAATAAAGGAAACCCGACCCTCTTTTGTGGTGTCATCACTCACCACAATCAACTAAAACTTAACGATGGACATTTCAAAGTATATCTGTAAATATACAAAGATATATAGATATATAAACAGGACAATAGAAAGCAATGTTTGGGATTTTTAATGCTTGTGCAAGTTCATATGTAGGATGAAATGCGACCAAAGGAAGAGGGCGGGGGGGTCATATTATTTGAAGACATTCTCGAAGGCGGGACATTTGTAGGTCTTGAGTTTCTTGATGGCCTTTTTGAACTCTTTGCTGGACTTGTCCCACTTGTGGATGCCTGTGAGGAGGTACTGCTTATCCACCTTCCGGCCCATGATTAGATACTGGTTTGCCAGGTTGTCCAGCTGCTGGCAGGGGCAGTCTGCACCGTTCTTCAAGTACATCACCAGCGTCTTTATGTCCTTCTTCTTCAGGTTCCCCTGTATCAACATCTTCTTCCTCTTCTGCAGGATCACCTTGCGGTCCATGTTTTCTCGCTTTACCTCCTTGATCTTGGCCTTGAAAGCTGAAGAGAAAAAGGACAAAGAACTGTTACCTTGTGTTAAAGGTGGATGAGTTTGTGTACAAAATGTTTGGTCCAATCACACTGTTGCCTCTAAAGACTGCTAGTTAATATTTTATGAATACAAAATGCCAGTCATGCGCAGTGTGTCACCCCCTGTGCTACCAAAATGAAACATGATAAAGGGTATCAGTGGCAAGTCAGCACTATATCCTCAAGGATATAGAGGAAAAGTAAGGCTATACTGGTTTGGTAAAATAATCACCTCCACTGGACTGCTTCATTAACTGTCTTGTCTTTATTTTCGCTGAAATTTTATCACTGGGTATATGTCACTTTACATTAATATGCATTACAATATATAATATATTAGAATTACCAGAAAGGAATGTCTCTTTTTGACAAATCCAGTAAGCATGTTATGACACAGATGCATACACCAGGAGGTATTAAGGGGTATAAATGGGATGGCATAACCTCTCACTGTAGACAAATGAATATTATCTGACAATAAATATCACCACCCGTACACTGTCATATAAAGTTGGGATCGTGAGTTCAGTCATTTGTGTGTGTGTGTGTGTGTGTGTGTGTGTGTGTGTGTGTTTGTTTGTGTGTGTTTGTGTGCACATGTGTAGCTGTATGTCCACAGCTAATTTTGCATACTATTGGTCCCATTAACCTAAAACTTTGGTGCACATTTCTGGACCTTTCATGGTTGCTGTGATTCATTTTTTTTTCTTTTTTTTTTTTTAATCTGTTCAATTGACTGCTCGAAGGTGTGTTTTTAGTAGTTGGTAAAGTTTATGAAAATACTTGTCATATTTGCTGAAATTGTCACCCCTGACAGTGGTACATAAGAGATAATTTGTGGAAAAAAAAACATGTTCTTAAGAGCCATGAAAAAGCCCCACTAATCTTTCACTAAACTCTATTTAACCTTCTAATCTTTCTGTTTCCTCCAGTTCCCCTTCTGAAACAGAGCATGAGTCAGACCTTGGTGGTCCATATGCTTCCACGCATTAAGCCCTCTCATTTTTCACTGACATATAGTGATGTGTGTGTGGCACAGACGACCTTGTGACATGGCAACGTGAGGGGAAAAAAGCGCAGCATGCTATGTCCAATCTAAGTGACAGAGCCGGTGTCGGGATAAATCACTGTGTCTTGTTGGAGACAAAGTCTTGTGACCTACACTGTGGGGAACAGCCTGATTGAGCATGAATCATTTTCACACTCCGACAAAGATCTGGGCTGATAAATCTGTAACTTCTGTCAAATCTTTTCCACAGTATTCAATACCAAATTCCTCTTGACTTACTTTTTACAGAATTGTACTCGACATAAAACCTCACTGGCACTTTAACAAACTTCCAAACGTTTCATCTCTTCCTTTGTACTCGTATCTCCCATTGCTAATTAAGGTGCTAAAACAGAGCCGCCCTGTTTTTCCCAGTATTAAGAGTGCACATGGTAGGGATTAAGACTTTTATCCCCTGTCTCTAGTCTCTCAAACGGGCTCTGTGAGGAGGCTTAGTGTTCAGTGAAATCAAAATGGGCAGCATTCATAATTAGGGAGTCATGAAAGAGAAGGCCTTGCCCACCCCTGAAAGGACTTCTTCTTGATAAATCCTCCATCCTCAATAATCCTTTGATGCCATGAACTTTCTTTGCACCTCGTGTTGTTTGAGAGCTTAATCTCTTCAGCAGCTACATACACTAAGAAGTCAGATCATTGAACTGTTTAGCTATTAACAATGCTGTGCTTTGCTTAGAGCTGGTGAAACTGTCCCTGTAGCCACACTTAATTATAATGTGTAATAGAGCAAACAACTGTTTTCATTTCAACATGAATAGTCCATCCAGTAGGTGGTATTCAGTGGTGTTGCTCCTAAATCTGTTTGCTCCTGCAGGATGTATCAAAACATGTACTATAAAGCTCAGTAAGCTGCCACTGTTTCTGCCCCATGGTGGGACCAACACAGAGCTATTGTACTGAGAGAATAAAGGCATTTTGAACCAGCTAAGAACTTAAATATTTTAGCTTAAGCTGCTAAAATCACTTTAAGGGATATTAATAAAAACAACTCTTCTGTATCAGTAAAGCCATGTATTATGTTTATGTGCAATTTTGAGCACTTAAAATTAGTATTTCCACCTTTTTACTCCACTCCCCAACAATAGTTTATTACTTCACTGTATTTATCTGACTGCTAATGCTTACTTTTAAAAAAAGACGACATGCCGTCGTCATATAATCATGATACAAATCTGACTAAGGTCAGTGCAATACAATTATCATCTGACTTTTATTCTATCAATAGAAAAGTCAAAGGACATCATAATTTTAACTTGAGGTTCTTATTTTGTTGAATACAATGTGTTCATATATAGTTCAACGGCCTATTTTACCTTTTTATAAAAAGGTCCAGGAAGTAGCAATGTTGCGATCATAACAACAACACAAAAATCTGCACAACCTTGCAATTATGTCCTTTTTTTTCAAATTTGGCCACATTTGACTAACTGACCCTCAAGTCACCAAACCCCCTTTCTTGTTCCTGGTTGTGAAGATGCAGACACATGCAACACGAATGTCTCACATTTGCCATCAAAAATAACTGCTAAAAACTGTGCAAGGCAATTTCCATATATTCTGTGTGAAAGCAGGGGTAAACTGCTTTGCATCACGTGCAACGTTGCGTTGGAACACAAGCGAAAGCCATTGATTGACAAACTCTTTTCTACTGCAACAAACCTGAAGAATGGCTGAAACATGTGGGCAACAGCCCAGACAGATAACGATGACAAATACTGTTGCATCCACATAAAATAAGTGCTGAAAGAATTCAGGTAAACTGGATTGAATATGCATGGTTAGTGGTAACATTAGAGCAGTATAAATCACAGAGTAATAGAGGTATGCTTGCCTGTTTGTGTGATAGACTGAATGTGAGTGTGTAATAAAGAAAATATTAAGAGTCTTGAATTAAATGTTTAAACATGGTGTGACAGCTTTATTAAGACTTACTGGTTACTTAGAACGCTCATAACAGTTGTTTTTGTTCTTACTAGAACAAGTTGCCTTCAGTTTTTAATGAATTATACCAAAAAAGAAAATATTTTTTTAGCAATTTTCACTTGCTCCTACAACTTCATTACAAAAAAACTTAATAAAATGTAATATTGCAACATGAATCGCAATTTTTTAGGAAAGCTGGTGTGAAATCGGACATTTTAGATCACTACAATCCCAAAAGAAGCCTACAAAATCCTGGATGGACTGATTTAGGTATTTATGTAATTCTAACTTGACATTTTTTAAAAACTAGATTTTGTTTTTTATGTGACTTGACTGTAAAAAGTTTTCCTTTTAATGCTCTTAAGTAATGCAACATTAAAACATGTTATTTGGTTTGGGGGGTTTCCTGACCCCTGACCCGATTTCCTCTGCTGCCTCAGAGGCACAGACAGGTCCTCCAGCTCCCAGGGTGTCATAAACCCAGCAGGAGGGTGTGTAGTGCTTCCCATTCACAATAATGGAAACACAACTGATCCGATAAGCTGAAGTGATCAGTGCAGGGCACAGGGCTACCCTGTTGTTTGCTGCATAAGCAAAGGGAAGGAGCAATTTGGCAACGACAACAAAGTGAGCTGTCCGAGGCAGAGGAGAGATTTAATTGAAGGATGCTGGAGGTTTTTTTGGGACAATGAGGTACCGTAAAACCTTAAGCACAGAGATAAACTGCGGTGGGAACAAAGTGTTGAGTGGGATGAGCTGTAAATCTGTTACCAGCTGAGTGCCACAAATGTGATGTGTGTGTGTATAGGCGTGTGTGTGTTTGTTGGAAGGAGATTCATCAGGATTTTGGAGAAATCACGGAGCATCGGTCCTCAGTGAAGAAACTAAACGTTCTGGACTGAGAACCTGGTGCGTGTTACAGTAACTCTGATGTATTAGTTCGAAAACACACATCTTATTTACAAGAATCTCTCCTTCTCTGCCGGAGCAACTTCACAATCAGCCACCTTAAGTCAAAAGCTGTCTTGCCGCGGCATTCTCTGCTTTCATCAGGATCAAACAGCATGAAAAAGTCAAAAGCGCTTGTGCAACTGATGGGAAGCAATTATGCAGGGCGATAGAAACACTATTATCACACACACACAAACACACACAAAAAAACTACTTCACACTTTACCTTAACTGAGAACAGACCTTTCACAATTTCCAGTAAGTGAGGTTTTCAGTGGACAAAAATGCTAATTCACTGCCAGTGTTGGGATATTTTATACATGATCGGTCCGCACGGATTAATAAAGACTTCAGCGTAAGTTACTGATTCATTCCTCAAGCCTCTCTGTGGTTTTACCTCCCTGCTTCCTGTGGAGATGAGCAAGAAATCTATTTATCATATCTGTTTTGTGGTCTTGTCCAAACAAGACTTGTCTACTTCTAAAACTGCATCTCTTCCCAACCCTCCTGTTTTTCCTGTGAGACTCCAGTTTTTCATCGCCCTCTCCCGGTTTCCTCCATGGGTTACAATTCTCCTGTTTTTCTCCTGATAGATGACATATTTTTACACTTTTTTTTCCTTTTTATTTATCACAGCCTGTTTCTGGCACTGTACAGCTTGAATAAACCTTGTGACCCTAAAATCTACTGTTTTTTCCCCACTGACATTTTCCCCCTCCTTTTTCAACCCTCCAGGGCTTGAGAGGCGAGTCCAATGACCTCGATGAAATGGGAGCAGCTGCCTTCACCCAATGCTGACCATGTTAGAAGTGTGTAATGGTACCGCTCTACCTGGGGTTTAAGGGGTGCCTCAGGGATCAGGGGAGACCTGATTTGCCCTCCTCTGCCATGGTGGGGTACCCAACTGTCCTCCAGAGACTAATCCTCCTATTCCACCTCATATAGGCATTCTGTGGGTCCCTGCCATGGGACAAGCCTATAGTCTGGCTTTCCTCTACCTTTCTCTGATGGAGAACCCTGGGCATGAGCCAAACTAGAATTACCGCCTTGTGGTTATATGCTTCTGCTAACCAGTCAAGTTGCATTTACTGTTACATTCATGTCTATGACAACGTGGATGCTTCACACAATTCTTCCCCCCAGCAGCACAGAAGATCTATATAATCAGCACAGTTTCAAGGTTGACACCCAACATTAGTGTCACCAATTAAATATCTGACTGAGTTATGGCATGGAACAATGGCCAGAGAAGTGTTTTTGCTTAACACTATGATGTCACAGTGAAGCTGACCTTTGACCTTTTGGATATGAAATGTCATCACTTCATAACTTTGTCCTAGCAGACATTTGTGTGAAATGTTGTCATAATTAGCATATGAATTATTGAGTTATGACCAAAAACATGTTTTGTGAGGTCACAGTGATCTTTGATGACCAAATTCGAATCAGTACATTCTTGGGTCCAATTAGACGTTTCTGCGAAATTTGAGAAAATTCCCTCAAGTCGTTCTTGAGATTTCGCATTCACCAGAATGAGACAGACACAAGGTTACAATAACATTAACCTTAGACCACCAAATTCTTATCAGTTCATTCATGCGACCAACTGGACATTTGATCCAAATTTGAGGAAATTCCCTCAAGCCGTTCTTAAGATTTTGCGTTCACCAGAATGAGATGAACATAAGGTCACAGTAATCTTGACCTTTCACCATCAAATTCTTATCAGTTCATTGTTAAGGTGTGCCAAAGTTGAGGAAAGTCTTTCAAGACGTTCTTGAGATAGCGCGTTCACGAGAATGAGACGGACAGACTGTTGTATGGATGGACATATGGACAAGACAAATGTCAAGACAGACGGACAGGCAACCCAAAAACATAGTGCCTACAGCCGCAACTATCGCCAGCAGGGAGGCATAAAAGCTAAATCAAATTAATTGTATTTAATGTAAAAATCTGTTGCAGTGTAATAATGTCTTAATAATTACCACAATGCAGGAAACAGTCTCTAAAATTCAATATCCTCCCTTTTTTTGAGGTCTCAAAGTTGGCAAGTATGCCTTCAGTGTTCGTCCGCTTCCACTCGAGTCAAAAGTAGCAGGATAGCTACAATCAGAATGCTAGTCTTATCTTTTCTTGGTGGTTTAAAACACATCATGATAAAAGCCTCAGATTTTTTCCATCTGCATATTTTCTGTCTCCTAAAGACAAGACATTAAGTCATGTTTGGCTTCAGCTGCTGTCAGATATATTTATAGTTGCAGCTTTCTCCTCAGACCAAAACTGAATTCCACTGGCCGACTGGAAAAAAGCAACAAACAAATCTTTAGGCTAGCTGGTAATATATGCCGTTATGCTATCTTTGTTAGGCTGTGCATTAGTTGTTTACCTCACTGTAATCAACTCATGCGCCATGCTGAAATCACGCTGACGTTTGTTGCATTCCAGAGGAGGCCAGTCCCTTGTGGGTTCAAACCTGCAGCATAAGCAGCACAGTGTCTCATCCTCAGCCTGGTGCTAAATCTGTCTGTGTATCCTCACATGTCAGCTGGTTAGGGGGCTTATGACAAGCAAGCAAAACAACATCTGTCTTCATCCGAGATGAAACAAGCCAATAATGTGCCACTCTCCTCTTGGCAAACCCGGACGCAGACTGAAAAAAGGCGAGTCCCATCACCGCAGCATAAACAGCCAGGCAATTCGTTAAACAAATGTAACTTTAAACTTTTTCTGAGAACTGGAAGAAAGTCTGTTTCCAATGTGCATCCAGTCTATGTTTCCCCGACATGGAACCTGGAATTCAAGCTGCCGCAACTTTTGGTTCAGCCAAGGAATAAAACATGAAAGCCTTACATTTTGCATCTTGTGTGCATCATGTACGTATCATTCCTGGAAGTCCTCATAACTGCAGTTCAGTTGATGTTTGTGTTTTTAATTGAACTCGAGACTTTTGATAATACTGGGTTGTCATGCAAAATTTCCACAACCAAATCAAATACCCCCATCAGCTAAAGATGTTCCCTCTTTCCTGGTTTGTTAATGTTGTTTTCGGTCTGGTTTCCGATCCAGTTGGACTGCAGACGCTCTAATGAAATGAATGTGTAAAACTGGCTGCCGCATGGAGTGTCTTATTTTTACGAGTTGTCTCTAAAATTTCCACAAATTCCCTGACTTGTCCATAAATTTTCTCTAATTCCCCATTATCCCCCTTCGGGACATGTTTCTCCATAGGTTTTATAATATTCCAAAATTACACATCAACTGGAAAGATGAGACTCCAGAGGCCACGAAACCCTTTCAAAATGAATGATGTGACTGTGTCAGTGTGAAGCTGAAACCAGTGGGGCCCCAGATATTTTTCATAGGGGTGCCTAGAGGGGGTCACTGAAAATCTTGGGGTGGCACACCAAAACTTAAAGCCATAACTGAACTTAGGTGATTTAAATATGCTGTTGTAGTATATAAGCTAGTTGTCAACATAGAGGGTTAAGAAATTGCATGCTAATATACTTTGGCTTATTTTACAGTTAACATTACTAATTATCTGATGTGCATAGACTGATAATACAATTATTTTGAGTTCCACAACAATCCTGCTTTAATCTGTTATAAATCTATGCAAGTAAGACGATTCAATGTTCTTTATATAGGCTGAATATTCCTTTTCTAAAAAAGAAAAATATGAAGGAGCACATTGATTGTAAGAACAAAACATTTACTGGAAACAAGCCTTCTGAAGTTTAGGGGAGACGAGTGGGTACCCACAGAACCCACTCTTCTTTCAGATATCTGAAGAGAGCTCAAGGGAACCCTTTGAAAATTACCATGCCAGTCGTTCCCTTGCCAAGGTTAAGCCTAAATTTGGAGCATTATGTAGCCCCGTTCCAAACAAGCTATGCCAACATGATTGGTACCAATGGAAGCCTTAGGTTGTTTAGTTTCACAAGACACAACAACATTTGCACTGGCAAATAAAAAGTGGGATTTATAGTTCTGCATCAAATCAATGCCGTTCCTATGATGTCAGTGCTGCGTTGACATAGAGCCTACGCTGCACCCTACACCGTAGCCTGATGTGCACCTCCCCAGTGACACAGACCTCCTGTTTATTTTTGTAAGCTGAAAAGCATTTCCATCAGTGAAAACAAAGCTTTTATTTTACAGATGAGAAAAAATAAATAAAACTAGTAAAACTAGTCACTAGGCTACTATATACAATATAAAATACCATAGGCTTGTGCTAAGAACATTAGCATGTTGTATTTGTTTGGAAAACATGTTTAGTATAAGACAGTTCTTTTGGCAGCGAACCTTGTGAGTTATAATGGAGCTGAATTTTTTTAAGTTACCTTTGTTAAATGTTGCTGCTCTTCCTGGTTTCATATGTGTAGAGGAAAAGTCTGCTAGCTGCTAGGGTGATTTATACGACGTAAAATGTCATAGGCTCGTGAAAATAACATTAGCATATTGTATTTGTGGGGAAAATGTGTCTAGCAAAAGACAAGTGCTTTGTCTGTGAATCATGCAAGTTATAGTGTGTGTGTACTGCTGAGGTGTAACTGTAGATGGACACAGACACACTACCACGCAAGTTAAAATGCTCACAACAGCGCAGGCCATGTGCATAGGCTATGGCAAAGGCTCCCCTCCCCCTGCAGGCACCACTGGTTGAAACATTTTTCTTTTTAAGCCAGCAATAACGTAGGATTAAAAGAAAGGCCTTGATACTTAATCAACACAGGTTAAGGGTCAACTTAAGTTTAAAAAGTACAAATTTCATTTGACCAGGGTAAAAAAACACATATCTGAAATTGATGTTGTTGAAGAAAAACAAACACACTGTTTATAATTAACTCCTTCATTTAGAAAGACATAATGCCCCCAGTCCGCCCAGACAGCAGAACAAACATCCCACTTTACCGCCCCGAGAACCTGCCACATAAATACTTTAATGACCCCAATTCATTAGCTGCAGAACATCATCCTCAGACAAACCAGACAGGCCTGGTACATCTAAAACCTCACATGTAACCTTTACATAAAAACTGCTGGCATGTAAGAAGTTCTTCAGAGTTCACTGGGGTGGAAATGGCCAAGTATGGTCAGATACAGGATGCACTCTGGGAAAAAATGCAGCTTTACTTACTTTCTTAAGAATTTATGGAGTGTTTTAAAGCTTGAGGATGGAGGACGCAACTGATGCCATCTCATGCTGTTCTATTTGCACGGAGTGCTGCGATACATGTCAAGGCAGTGGGGTGCGTGTAATTTGCATTTTGTGTGTCGACACAATGGGTGTCGGGAGGATGCTTACCGAACTCGCTGGCACACATGTGCTCAAGCATGCCGTCTGTTTTCATTTCATTGTCACATGGAGGGCAGATGGGAGAGTAACCTGTGGAAAATAAATAAAGGGATATGGTTTGGAAATCAGTGGAAAAAATATCAGATGCAAGTTGCAATGATACCGGCAATGAATCATTCACATGGCTTTCCTGGAATAATTCACATCGCCACACATTTAGGATGTGGTTTAAAGAACAAAGACAGAATCAAGAAGGAAACAAAACACTCATTTCTCAATTGAAATGAAGGGGAGTTTAACTAAATAAATAAAAATCACCACACTGCCCTTAAATTCCAATTTTACATAATTTGTCCTGCAGATCTCGACACACACCTAACTTCTCTCTGCATGCACAGATCCTATCTAGTGTCTGGTTGTCAGTCGCCCGGTCTCTGGGGCTTCGTACGCTCTGATGACCTGACCTCAGCGAGGAATGTCTTCAGCTTTTATAGCCAGCTGTAACTAAGAGCTGCAGTAAACACTCTTCCTCACTTTGCTCCATTTAGGCAGTTTTCAAAATGGATCTTCCCTTCTAGCTCAACTGCAATGTACACACCTTAAACTCACAAAAAAAGATAAAAAATGTGGAATGAATAAATGGTAATGATATTCAATCCAAGCTTAACGGAATGCTCTGACATTCCAAAAAAAAAAAAAGGATAATAGTAGCTGGCTCAGAGACAAAAACCCAACCAAAGACAAAGAGCCAAAATGTGTTTTTGCCAAAAAGTAATTTAGTCTAGAGGCATATCTGCAAATATTTTACCAACACGATTTTTCAACTTTTTTCTCTACTACCACAAATGATCGCTTCATGCCAAACAGCTGAGTTTACTTTCCAAACAAACTTGGACCTGCAATTCGATCGTTGCATCCTGCAGCATTTAATTCAAAACCACTGCATTTCAATGTTGCAGGCAGCGCAGGTCTAGATCGATAGAGCACAGGGGAGGAAGGAGAGGGGGAAAACAAATAGTTTTCTCTCCGTTGCCAGTTGTCCATTACATGTGTTTAACAAAAGCTTGTGAAAGTAACACCCAGGTGTAAAGAGCTTATGAAAACAGACACTGTTTACAGAGTCACGGGGTCCCTCTGCTTGTTTGAGCCTGGTTCTCCTTTAAATCAATTATCACTGGCCTGTATTCAGCAGTGGCGTAGTAAGCACCATTAGCTGACCTCTGTTAACAGTCATTAAGGGGAACGGCTGAGAAAATTAGGCTGATTTTTGTTTGTCTTCATCAACCTCAGAATCAGATATTGCTACTTTCCTGGAGAACACTGAAGACAGAACACCGTCAAACTCTATGTAACAGGCCCAACTCTGTCCTGCTGGAGAACGCCGACTTTATTTATCACCAGCGCTGACAACGAATGATAACAGGTGATGTCTGGAGAGCCAAGAGCTCTGTGTGGTCCCCCTAACCCTGAAAAGGGAGTCTTTTTCAGAAAAACGGGCCTCCGTCCATACCACCATGTCAGTCAGTAACAGCCACCCCCTCTCCACACACTCACACGGGACACTCTACAGATACAGTGAGCACTGTGTAACTGCTGGAAGATCCACAGGCCCTCCATTTATGGCCAACTTCTTCAGCATAAAATGTCTTCAAGTGTCGTATTTACAGCTTAAGATTGAAATATAAGTAACTTGATGATGTGATGATGGAAATCCCCCTCTATTTTATGGTTAAAGTGAATGAGGTGGTTGTACTTTCCCTTCCCTGGTGTACACCTAGGCGACCATGCAGCGGGGACACTGGCACAGCAACAGAACACGAGCTGTAGCTCCAAACCAAAACTATTCGGAATGAGCCCGCGCTTTATCTTCCTCAGGCCTGTTGCTCTTGTGCATTTTTCAGGGTGTCTCTGGTATTTGTCAGCTTGGCCCATCGGGGTTAGAGCTGGAAGACCATTTTTCTGGACTATTTTACTACATCCACCCCCCTTCACTGATGCTGCATGAGGTGTCTGACTCTGTTTCATGCCAACGCACACAGTGCCAACAGACTCTGCAGCCAAGGAGCCATTAGTGATAGTTGATAACAGTGGTGGTGGTGGGGGTGTCCTTGGGAGCCTTGTTTAGAAACCGCTGGCTCTCGAATGCTCACCCACAGACTGGATTCTAATGCACATTATTTGGACGGTGTGTTTTTCAAATTATGTCTTCGTCTTTCCATCTTTCAGCTGTTTTAATGCATTTGTCAGTGACGGCGTGGTAGAAAATGGGAATTAATAGATGCAGGTATTCACTTTTCTCTGCTGGACCCTCTCCCAGCATTGTACTCCAGCTCAGCAAACACCTTGGAATAAATCACTACCATCTGTTAGAGCTTTTCAATATATGACTCCAAGTCAATAGCAAGCAATTCACATGGAGGCCAGAGTTTATAGCTTATATTGAAAAGACGATGCAACCACATAAGACTTTATTTAGAGGGCATAGGGGGAGAAGGTGGAGGTGGAGGTGGGTGGTTGGTTGACGTTGTTAAAATGAGATCAAATCCAGGCTTTCACAGCTGATTTGCCCCCCAAAAGGTTGTATTTACTTTGTTTGTGTTGGGATTTGCATCTACAAACACACCTTCACCCCTGAAACAACATTCTCAAGCCCAGTTAACTGCACGGGTGTCGACTTTAACACCGTGCCCAAGTGGTGGCTGTTTGTTTTCTCAGTCAGGTATTCACTCTGAGTTAGATAGTTAATGTTTGGTTATATTAAGAAATCCCAAATGGTTGCAATGTAACTAACTGACAGACGGTTAATTGCTAATAATTAAAACAAATACAGCTTCATCATTTGAGTCATTTATCAGGAAAGAAATGTGCTGCTTTCAGCTTTGGTGTGAATGTAATGTGAGATTTTGCTGCTTTTCTCTGTTTCAGACTTAATATAAAATATTATATTTAAACATGAATTCTTTTAGGCCACTTGAAACTCAAGGCAGTACAAGGAAGTCTTTGAAATGGCATTAACCCTCGGTGTAGGGAAATACATTTACGGAAAATTTGATTGAACGCATAACGAAAATATCGGGGATTTTCTGGGATTTCATGGGCCAAAAGATTAATCAGTTATTTGGAGAAAAAATCTGATAAACAGCAAATTTATCAAAAATGAGAAAAATTCTTTTGTTGAGGCCATGCTGAAAATACAACGACATTAGTCAGGCTATGTTTTTTTTTCTTAAATTTATTATTTTTATTTTTATTTGCCTAGTGTAAGGGACTCTATACTACGAATACACTCTTAAGCCGAGGCATCCTATTAGTGAAATCTAGTCTTTTAATTTTTTTTTTTACCAGACAATTGTGTTTAATACGCTGTTGTTTGGCCAGGCGTCAGACTCTGGCTGAGAATGTGAATTGAGCTGCTGGTTTTGCTCTGATATACTGCATTTTTAACATATTTGGTACTATATCCAACAGGATTTCACATGATTACTATTTCACAGAATCTGTATTGCTTTCCATAGTCACCAAATTTATGTAGAAATGCAAGAAATGTGTGTCACATTGCATTTTATTTCTTGAGGAGGACCCCCAGTTTTACATTGTCCCCCCACTTGTCAAACCACAGTCACGCCCTTGCTCTTGAGCCAGGCATTAAAGCCACAGATGCCCCTGTGGAGCTGCTCAATGACCACCACAACCCTGTGATTTCACCGGATTAATAAATTGAACTGTTGCTGCAAAATAGCACAGACACTCTTACAGTAACAATAAACACTTGTAAATGAAGGGATCCATCAGTAAGTTAGACCAGTCATGTGTTAATTACCTGTGGGCTTGGTGGCTTCAGTCGCATTGGGCTGCGTCATTGCAATGCACACATCGTCTTGGGGAAACTTGTCGCAGGTGAGCATCTCCGGCCAGGGGAAGCCAAAAGCCTCCATGATGGGGATGCAACCGTCCCGCACGGCCTCGCACAGCCAGCGGCACGGGTAGATGGGCCGCTCCAGGCACACTGGCGAAAAGAGCGAGCAGAGGAAGACCTGCGTGCCCGGGTGGCAGTTCTTGTGCACCAGGGGCACCCAGCTGCTGGCCTGCTGCTTCACCTCCGCCATGGTCTCATGTTCCAGCAGGTTGGGCAGCAGCATCTGGTCGTAACCCACGTTGGCACACAGCCGCAGGTCCTCCGGGATGGCCACGCACTGGGGAGGCTTACCGTAGCTGCGCCCGCCGGTGTACATGTCTGACTTCCAGCTGAGGTACTCGTACTCTGCCCCTCTGCACGCTGACATGAGCGCCACTGTCACAGCCAGCCGGATCATCCTCCAGAATGATTCGGAAGCAGACCTCATGTTCTTGTTAGAATGCAATGCAACTCAGCGCGGCTCAGACAGGCGAGTCAACACTCACTTCATGAAGAAATACAGAGGAATAACAAGAAACAAATGTAGAAAAAAAGCTGAGCTCTGCTGATCGACGCGCGTAAAATGTGTTGAGTTTCTGGTTTGGGTAAAGTCCACAGGCACTCTTCTCTGGCTGCAGCCCCGTCGCGCTTCTCTGGTGCGTCTGGCTCCTGCGAGAGTTTGGGGAGGTAAGCGCTCTGCCTGTGCGGAGCCTGGAAACAAGAGGAGACTGTAAAGTGCAATCCGGCCAATCGCAGTGCGTCTGCGCCTTTTGGCACTCTACTGTCAGTCAAAAAGCTTAATTACCCAGTGTGTAAAAACTCTCCAGGGGCCTCCTTACCCCTCCCTCTACTCCCCCGCTTGTACTCCCTTAGTCAAAACAAAATACCGAATAATAAAGAAAATCATGGAATGACTAATGGACGCATATACACACTGAAACCTCAGAGTGTGGTTCTTATGAAAGTTGCACAGAATAAAAGTGTTTTATGGAGCACTATTTTTTATTCTAGTCCCCAAACTGTGATGCAGGGAACAGCATGGGTCCCAAGGGATGATAAAGATCCCTCCATTTTAGTGAGAAAATCCTAACTGAATTAATATGAAATTAACTAGAAGAGTGAACATGACAATAACCCGTTTCCCCTGGTTTCACTGAAAACCATAAAACACATTTTAACCCTTTTCTCTAGCTGTGTTTGATGTATCTGTGTGCTCTTCATGTCAGTATAGATTAATATAAATGACATGAAATATGTATAGGTGTAGATTTTGGGTTTCCTGTGACCCTGCGTCCTCACATAAGGACATTACATGTTGGGTTTGCTGCACCTTATACTATATTTTCCTTAAAGTAGACCTGTTGTTCTTCCTTGTGGACACTTTTATGTGTCATGTGGTGGTGGTACCAAAACCACAATGCACTAATCCATGTAAAAACATGATGGCGGTCATCTCTGAATGTCAGTCTACAGCGGATCCTGACACAAGAGTGAACAAGGTACAAAACCTGAACACATTTTGTGGTTAAAACTTGTTTATTTGTGCTTAATGACGTTTGTAGTTTGATATGGCACACAGATTTGAACAATGTTTACAATAGTAAGCTAAAACACTGTTGATTAGGAAGTACTCATTTGAGGACATTGCGACTTGGCTATATTATTGTGTTACTGCAATATTTCACACAGGCCAATTAGGTGTGACAGGCTGTTTCTACAGACAAAAATGACATTCTTAGCTTTAGAATATAGAGCAAAGAAAATTAATACATAGTTACAACAAACCAATCACAAGGCTTTTAAATATGTTGCATTATTGTCAATTTGCACAGCCATATTCAGGCATTGAAATGAACAGTTTTGAACAGTTTTAGACTTGAACACTGACCTCTAACTCACAGAGTTGAAAAACTTTAAACAAATATTGCATCGTTTGCAACTTTGTATTTGCAAAACCACGTGTCGTTGAGTTTGGAAATACATCTAGAACGGCAGTGCATTTGTTAAACTACATTTTAAAGATTGCAAGGCGTTTATTTTTTCAGAGAATCTGATGCTTAGCTCTGCGACTGAAATGCAATGATCATACATGAGAGGCACAAACTGGGTCAAGGGCTTGCTTCATTCCAGTGGTTCCCAAAATGTGTTGCAGAGAACAGTGAGTCCCTGAGGATATTTAAAGAACTTCCCCCCTGCCAAACAAAATGAGGAAATAGTAGTTTCGCTAATATTAAGTTAACTGTCCCTGCAAGAGAATGTATAAGATCAAGTTGCTTTGATCAAAGTTTTAACTTTGTAATAAAGTTCTGATGCTCAGAGCCAAGTCTTATCTGGCAATAAACAGCTGTCTTGAGGAGTTCTTATGGCCATTATCTTATCAAATGGGGGGTTGGTGATTTAATGCAGCTCTGTTTGTGCTCTTTGCTGAGTCCAGAGTGTCCATCTCCTCCCGGCTTTGCCTTGTGCAGTGATGAGAGAGAAGGTGTGAAATCCCTCTATTTAAATGTAGGCCAATTTGCATCACATTGTGTTGGCAACAGTTCTTGCACAGCAACAGAGAAAACAGATCGTTTAATTTGATTTTAAGATTGGATGCGGCACACAGAGACCTTTTAGAGTAATAGCTCTGTTGAACTTATTTATCAAATCAATGTGTTTTACAGCTGTCTTTGCCGCAGAGGACACCGCTCACCTAGACATTTTCTTCTCCTTTCGCTTCTTGAACGGGGGCCAGGAGAAAACATTCTGCAACAGCGTGCAGAATGTTAAACGCATTATGCAGTATGGATGGATGGTGACAGATGGCACCATAATCAAAACATCGTTGTAATTTGCAGGGTGCAAAGGTTGAAGTGAAAAATAAAAGTGTCAAAAAATTGCAGTAAATCATTTTGGGGCTGTAATCAAACCAGAATCAGTGCAACATGAAATGCTGAAAAAATAATACAAGCTTAGATTGCTCATCAGTGAAATTGTCCATTAACTAAGACCTCTGCACATCAAAGTGGTGATGCGTGTTGAAAAGACGGCCAGCTGATTCTCTAAAGCGCTTTAAAGACGACACCTCTGTTGACATTTCAAATTAACGGTGATGGTTTAATAAGGGTTGCTGTGTTTGTGGCAACGCTGCACAGACTGGTTTATGGGCTGATGGCATCCAACAACAGTTTGTGCATAGATGGTTGCTAAGGCAAACTTAAAATTTAGGTGACAGGAGTGTTTTTTCCCTCCAGACTAGACCTGGCTTTGCTCAAATGCATGAGGAAGCCTCCTGTCAGGAGCAATAGGCCTGCTACAAACCACCAGCAGGAGCGAGACAGCAACAAGCCAAAACCTCAGTGAGACAAAGGATTGCGGAGAGGTTTGCATTTACTTTCCAGTGTGAGTGTACAGCAGGGAAATGGAGACTTCTGCAAACAAAAGCAGATATGATTATTTTGGATGTCACTGTTATCACTACCACGTTCACTTTGCAAACTTTGTGCTTTAACAGTGTGTGACTAACAATAGAGAGACTAAATATTTGGACTTTCAGGCCTCTGGGAGGACTGAGTTCCCATAGATGGGCTATCCATCTATATTCACCAGTGTTTAAAAGCAATCTCGCATACATGTGCATGTATTGCCATGAAAGGGCATTCTGGCCCTGGCAGAACGAACATGTATGTCATTAAGCATCTGTCATCAGCGAGCGCTGACTAAACACTGGATCTGCTCCAGAGCACAACGTCAGCCGTAGACTGACGAGGTGTGTGTACATGATGGATGCTGCGGGCGAGAAAGCTCTATTATAACCTATGTTACAATATAGAAATAACAAGCACACCTGCTTTTTGTCAGGTAACACCAGCAGAGTGCAGAGAGCAATGTAAAGCATTGCTTTTTTTTCCGGTTGAGTTTTGTTCGTGTGCTGCACGGCACCATTTTATTTAGTGACATATTGTCAACTGGTTTCATTTTGTTTTCTCTTAAGTCTCTTGAGACGTGCTTTTTGATGAAGGGATGTGTACATGACTTGACTTGATTTTCCATGAGCAGCTTGTTTGAGGGGTTGTCATGGAAAAAACATAATTGCTACATTGTGGGTGATTGACTCCAGACTTGGCTGAAATTGTATGATTCTTAATATTTAAAGTGTTAAAACGTCAATCTTGGTACTTCTTCTTTGATTTATGAATTATTTCATTTTCAGAGCATTTCTGTTGAAGTCGTGTAGATCTCCTGTCACTCTTCCTTCAAGCTAATTGACCTTTGGCCTGATTGAGTTCTCCCTAGAGGCGTCAGTATGCTTAAAACAATGTTCTTGTCAGATTGCTTAATAGCATTTGAAACCAAACTTTTTTTCCACTGGCAGAACATCACCTTTTCAGTTGATATGGTTAACTTCGGTGTTTACACATTCAGCAGTTACAGAGCAGCATTATCATTCATTTAGAGTGCTGTTTGTGTCCACCTGCTGAATGTAAGTCCAATATTCACTCTCTTTTAGCTGTGTTCTTGCTATCTACTTACACCTGAGAAAAATATCTGGATCTTTATTTGCTAAATGTGCAGCTGACTGCTAGGTCTGAAAATCACATTTTAGCCCTTTTTAAGCCACGCTATAGAGCTGCTGCGAAAGTCCCTTCTTCATGCCGCCTCTACATTTTTACACAGAACCAAACAAAACCAGCATTGTGGAATCAAAAGAATTATGACTGTCGTGACCAACGCATTCTCACTGTGACTTCATCATATCACAGTTGGTCGAGGACTTTCCACATCAAGATATGAAGTGCAAGGTACCCTGGGTGTGTTGGTTGTTGATGTTCTGGGACACTGTGTCAACTTCCGCCTTCAGTTACATGCACTGTCTGTTTTTTAAAAATACACTTCCGTTTTCACAGGAAATGTACAGTTTGCATCAGTCTCTTACAAAATAAACACACTACATTGGTACAACCCTACGAACTGACTTATTTCTCTTCAACAACAGCACATTACACTAGGTGTTACGTTTTGTGGTTGGGTTTAGGAAAAAAGAACAAGGTTCAGTTCGGAAGCAAACACCGGCCTCCAGTCAAAGTCGGTGGTTGTTGTTCCCTGGAGATATGCACTGCTTAATCCACTCTCCATAGTCGGGCCACCACAGAAGTTGACGTTGACTTTAAATGTTTCCATTTTGTCGCTAGCTCGTAGCTAACTGGTTTGTTAGGCTATGTAATCTGGTTTAGGGTTAGGAACTCATTTTGTTTCCATCTAGATTCCACCTGTACCAGGAAGATTTCTGGGTTTTTTCATCACCTTAAGAAGCTCTAGCGAACCTTCAGTCAGGAAGACAATACTTTTCATGCTCAAGCTGCAAGTTTTCTCACCCTGCCATTCACTCCTTGCACACATGCTCACTCACTATCTCTAGGTGTCTTGTCTGGGTAGGTCAATTGAGTCATCAGCTGTTTTTCAGCTGAT